TATGGAAGATCCATGGTGTCATTTTCCAGGATTCTATGCCACACTTATTTTTGATAGTAGGTTCATTTATATAGGAGTAGTGCCATGAAATCTTAAAAATAAAACTTTATCCAAACTCTCCTATAGCACCCTCGTCGAAAAAATCAGCCTTTTTACCAATGGCGATCCTCGCACTTTACGATTTTCCCCACCAAAATGATCTTGAGGATCGAGGCAAAAAAAAAAAACGAATTCTGAGAATAACGGGGTTTCCACTGTGCAAAATGTCTTATCGGAGGCTTTGTTTAGTATACCGTTGTTGGGAAATCTACAGCCATTTCTAAACAGGAAACCCCTAATGTATTTACATTTATTCGTTCACCGAGCAAAATGCACATATTTCTTGTTTAGACATATCTTGCTTTTGAGTAAAGATAGGAAAGAAAAACTTAAATCACAAAAACACAATGCATGATTTACGAACTAAATACTAATTTACAATGCCTTTGAAAAAGCCATAGTACAGGGCTATTAATATATGCGCATAACTTGATGCATGTATGCATGTAACTTGTCAGCTGTGGCAGTCTGGCGGCCACGGGTTTAAATACTGATGAAGTTGAGTCTTTGACAACTTCAAGCCACGTTAATCATAGCCTTGGTAATTCTTCATGGAGTAAAAAGGAGGTCGAGTTGGCTGATGACGAGGTAATGTAGCACTAGTCAAGACGACTGGAAAAATATTACCTTTTTTTTGATTCGTGTGTATCATCAACGACGTTTTTGTCATGAACTTCGTAGTTGAAAAACTAAGCCGTGACCTACAATTGATTTCAAGTAAGCTGCGATCCATAAGAACAGTCCTTTCGTGACCTCAAAGGAAGGCAAAAATGGCATTTTTCAGGTGTTAACAAAACAGTAAAAACGCACGGTGAATGCGCCGAAGAGCTGAGGGGTAAGAGAATAACATCTCAGATTAAAGGTTATTTCAAAAAATTTTTCGCATGTACGGGTAACACTTTGACAAGCAGTTTCTGGCAAGAGATAATAACAAGTATGGAGAGACGTAAATGCTAACTTCTGGACAATGCGGCGAGTCAGATAGATGGTTCAGTAACTCAAATCTGAGTTGCCAGGATCGCTAGCTGGGCGGTAAAACTTTGATCAAAGCAACTGTGCTAGTTATACAGTTGATGAATGCGCAACTGATCAAAGCACGGATAAACGTAACTGTTGACTTCAAAGGCAGCATCAGCAGCCTGCAGTTTTACTGTAAGTTTAGTTTTGCGCTGTGTTAAATCCAGCCCATTGTGCAATTTCAGATTTATTCCATTTCTTCTGAGAACAGATCCTATAGTAATTGTTCAGTCATATTGTACACTATATGCATTTTAAAAACTTTCATTCGTTTAGATGACCGACAGTACTGCATCGAAGTAAATGTGCTGCAGGAAGGATGTGTTGCGATGGTGTCCGAGAATGATGGACTTGAAACCTACAGGGCGTTTTGTTGCTGTCTAGAAAAATGCGAGAGTGTTGGCCACGCGATCCAAGCGATGCAGAAGAGTTTCGAAGATGCTCTGTTTGGCAACTACTGAGAATGAGAAGGAGCATCATTTTGATTTCGAAATTTATTTATTTTCCTTGTTTTCTAACATTTTCACAAAAAGGCATAGAACAGGAGGAGCACAGATTAGCAGTTAATATGGTAATATTCATT